GCATATGGAACAAGAATATATTCTTAAGAAAGTAACGGACAGTAGGAAATGGAATCTTCTTCGAATGAACAAACTGACATCAGGTCAGAACTAAACTTCACTGTTAGAGCGTCAGATTTGAATAGAAATCCAATTTTGTATGAGAAACTCTCACTTTGCAATTACAAGTTCTAACGCTATTGAAGCAAGATGCGTCAAACTTAGCATTTATTTCAGTTAGACCAAAAACACATCGTGAAATCTATTTCGTTTTCGTCCTGAAGAAAAATGGTTATGTCTTTGTAACACAATAGTTTTACAAAGAAATAAAATGTTTAAAACTAAATGTGACTGGTGGATCATTGCAAAAAGCAAATTTCGAAAGCGCATACGAACTCATAGTCCATTTTCAAAACATCATGCCATTATGTATTTCTCGTTCGGTAGCACGTTCGATGCGAATAATGCCTACAAATTTACGTCTAGTGTTTCATGTGCAATTTCCATGAAAAACTTTTTTAACTAAAGAAATTACATATTTATTTTTATTTTACAATCGGAAATACTCCTTAAGAGCTCGTACACAAAATTGCGACGCAACGTTGCACAGCAAAAATTTGCGATCTCCCTCTATGCATCGCAAGAACTTGCGAATTGATTCGCATCGCGCATCAAAATCTTATCTTCCCAAAATCTTCTTGTTTCTTTTTCCTGTATCTCCTAAGCAATGACAGAAGTACACACTTCTTTTTACAATCCATGTCACGACCTAGTTTTCAATTTAAAATACGTAAATTTAAAGTACGGTTGACGGTCGTCGAAGGAATGGTTACCCTGGGAGACGCCTTGTCGCACGAAATCGCATCGCAGAAATTAGCATCGTAGTTTTTTGTGTTGCTAATTCGCATCGCATCGGAGTTTTGTGTACGAGCCCTATGGGAAGTGGTTTTATAGTGGGACGAAAATGAAATAGTTTTAACGGTATAGGTATATCCAAACCTACCTTTTTAAGCCTAATTAAAAATGTCATTAGTCTCTCTCAGTCTGTATCCTAAATAGAGTAATTAAACTAATAATAGCAGTACTCTTATAGTATGCAGAAATGGAATCGATAACGATCACATCAAGCTTGTCTTATTTGGCGAAAAATGTGTATAAAATACGTCTATCGCCCGAATTCTGAAATATTAATAAATTTTAAGTTGTACTTAAATGTAGTGCTGTCTCTGTCATTTTACCGATTTTTTTTACGATTTATACGAATTCAAACAATTCTTAATGTACTGAGAAAAGCTCTACTAGTTTCGAAAAGGGATTCTTCCTCATGAGCAGCGTGCGCGACGTCGCAGCGACCGTGGTTCGAAACTAGTAGAGCATTTCGCAATATATTCACTTGAGTAACCCGCGATTTTAGTTAATTTAGTATGTCTCACGATAGTTATTATAAAAACAATTCTTAAATACTCAACAAGCAAACCAAATAACAAGCGGTGCGTTGGTTTGTAGTGTTAGCTTCGTAAACAACGTTGGTGCGTTGCTGCCACGAAGACCTAATACAGTGAAACCTGGTTAACTGAGACATCAAGGGACCTGCAAAGTCGTTTCACTTATAGCGGTATTCCACTTACCCAGTGTCTCAGATATACAGGTATAAATAAATATCTGTCTCATTTACAGAGGGTTCCATTAATAAAGGTCGACTTGGAATTACGTGTGGAGTTTGTGGGTAGAATAAGAATGAGTAAACAAACATTGTTATCTCAGTTTCAGAGGTTTATGCATATAAAATTTACTCGCTGTCTCAGTTATAGAGGTAACTATGATGATAAATCGAAAGAACAAATCCCAGATATAGAGGTTTACCTCGTCCCACTAACAGAGGTAATTCAGTGCCAAAGTGTTGGGACCTCAGCATGAGTTCCAATTATGGAGGTTTCTCACTTATCCAGGTCCCACTTAACCAAGTTTCACTGTATTATTAAATTGAGTTTTTGACCATTTCTACCTATCTTTAAGAAAAAGAATATATATTATTTACTTAAGTATTTTTTTTTTGTTTCATTAGTTTTAGTCAATAGTTAAGTTTGTGTATGCTCTCTTTTTGATTTAGTTTTGTCTTGTTTTAAATTAGTAATTAGGTAGATAGATCTTTAGGGGTAAACTATCGCAATGTAGAAAACTGTAATGATAGTTTTAGGTAAGGTTTTAAATAAATAAATAAATACATCTTCACTAGGCGAAATAGTGCCCATACGTCGTCCCAGCATATATAAAGGAAAATTAAAAACTATTCAATCTAGCCAAGCCATAGTAGTATGTTCATTATTGACTCCTTCATTTGTGTAAACAATTTTGATATTTGAAACTATTGGTTTCCGATGACCCAATTACAGTCGATTTCCGTGTCGACTCGTTTGAAAACTATTTGGTTGAAATTTTAATGATGCTAAGTAATCTGTATTTAGCGTGTTACATTATTTTACGAGTTGATTGGAGTTGTGGATTAAATATTAGATAACTATCATTCGTTTTCGATTTTATCGGTGGTTGTTGGTTATTGTGAATTCTTGTTGGTATATTTTTTTATGGCATAAGCCGGTAAACGAGCAGACGGATCACCTGATGGTAAGCAATCGGTGTCGCCCATGGACATCTGGAACACCAAAGGCATTACAAGTGCGTTACCGGCCTTTTGGGGATTAAGAATTTGAGGATCGTTAGGGATTCAGGAATTGGGGAGATTGGGCAAGGGGAGGGTGATTGGGTCTCTGGTAACCTCACTTATACGACGAAACACAACGCAAGCGTTACTTCACGTCGGTTTTCTGTGAGTTCACACTTAAATTTTAGTAATTGATAGTAGTGATGTAAGTTTTTTTGAAATCATTAGTAAGTATATTTTACATAAGTAAAATAATTGTAATGTATATTCAATGATTAGCAATTGTTTCAAAAAACTTTTCTTTAAAAACTTTCTTCCTTTAAAATCTTTTCTGTAGATCAGATAATTAATATATCAGATATTAATATCTTAGTACTCAATTATTGCCTAATGCTATCTGCGGCTCCATTGAGTCCACATCCTTTAAATACAAAACCAATAAACAGGTATGTACTTACGAAAAATAAAGTCGACGTAATTCAAGCCGTGAAACAAATATTGGAAAACGCTTGACAATTTATCATCTCAAAAGGTGAAAAGAGCATAAAAATAATTGGTACGCCTAAACTGGGACAATCATACACACTTCTGTACAAATGTACAACACAACACATCAAGCTATAAAACCAGTATAAACTGACCTTCAAATTTGAGGAAAGATGCTACAAAGTGGGGTCATGATATACTGGTGATGTTGCTCGTGTAGTGTGTATATGGAATGTTCGTGTGTATGTTCGTACAATCCACATAACATAAGAATACTTTTAGGAATATTTTATCGCCTAAAAGGGGAGGTTTTATAAGAAAATTTATAGCCCAAACTCGTTACAGTAACCGATGAAATAAATAAAAAAACAGAACCGTTTACTGTTTGAATACATTTATAATGTATCAAAGGATCAAATTGGAAGTTCGCAACTGGATCAAGTTATGTAAATTTAACGTCTTTTGGGTTATTTTAATTTTCTTTGCAGATGTAAAAATGTATTGTTTTGTGGTCTTGAATTGGGTAGTTTCCAGGGTAAGAAAATTAAAAATCTAATTAGTCCGTCAGTTAGATAATGAAAAAATACTAGACACGTATTTTTTATTTTCTCGTATAAAGTTACAATACTTAAATAAAATGGAGTTAAGTTTAAGAGCGGGAGGTAGTTACATCACAACGTGCTACATTTTGTTGGACGCTGTGACGTCACACGACATTTCAAATCAATATATCGTCGAAAGCATTTAATTTTGCGAGTAAAGAAAAAATACGTGTCTAATGTTTTAAAATAATCTACCAGACGGACATTAAAATAAAATTTAGGAAACTAGCCTATTCTTCTGTCAAACTTAAGTGTATCTAAATATTTTTCTATCTCTATAATACCGGGTCTTGAAAAATCTTCGAAGCTTTTTGAGACAGAGTAAAAGACTTATGGGACGACGTGCTCCATCGTAGACCGCATCATCGCTTACCATCAGGTGAGATAGTGGTCAAACGTCGCCCCATCAAATATAAAAAAAGACAAGTGAACTTTAACGGAAAAGTGATAAAGTATAAAATCACCTGAACAAGGAAAATTTTCCTACTTCGTACAAAAATAGAATTCCCATCAATCCCATCGCAGCTGTTATTATCCAAGCCAGGACGAATAACAATCAGGAATCATCGGAACAACTCCCTAATCCATCGTTATCCAAAAAACGGATAAAACATCCCTTGCGGGCGATTATTCTTTGTCCCACCCCAATTAAATGGTACAAAATGTTCATCCATCATCCAGGATCAAAGATAGCAATGTAGCCTTTAACGACAACAACCTGGAGGTAACCCTTTTGTTATTGAAATGTATGGAAATCGGGTAGCTGCTCGTAATTGTGACAGTGTAGTAATATTTTACTTGTCGGTCCATACGTTCAGTGTCTGGGTTGGTTTTTTTCCTCTTCAATGATATTTATTTGCCTGTTGATCTAGCAGACCTGTTAGATTTACAAGTTGTTTGGTATAATGTATTGGAGTTTCCATAATCATGTTAATAAGTATTGTTCTTCTATGACTAGGGAAGTTTTTGATGTCGTATTAATTTATGATTGATTTTTTTTTATGAATTTAGATGTGTTCATCCAGTGATATAACATACTGTGTTACGTACTCTGAACTCGAGATAATACCTACCGACCTTAACACTTTAGTGTTTTTTTAATGTTTTCAAATGTACCTATATGATTTTTGTTTTGACCATCGAGATCAGCACTAATGCTTCTGAAAGCATGACTTGCTACAATAAACTTACTATCGAACGCATCCTCACAACTTAATAAGATCACTCCATCAAATCATCTCCAAAGTCTAACCAAAAATCTTTATTTCTAGAACGGGCAAGCTCCACTACCCTACAGACGTCTGCGGGCCACTCTTTGAGGAGGAGCTGGAGTTCTGGGGCCTGGATGCCAACCAGGTAGAACCGTGCTGCTGGATGACGTATACGCAGGTGAGGATACTATTCATCATGTAGATGATGATGATAATGATAATAAAGTTTAAGAAGACAAACTCTTAAGGCGCGTCCATGATAAAATAGACGATAGAATAGATCTACAGGTTTCTATCATAAATGAACTTTATAATACAAAATTATTATCATCAATGATTATAGACGAAACTGAATTACGTATTTGCTTTTGATCTAGAATGAATAAATCATTACGAAATGCGACAAAATATTTGTCTAAAGTTTTTCTCTAACGCCTTGTCAGAGAAAACTTAGAAGTTAGAAATATTTGCGACATAATTTACTAAAAGCACTAAAATTTTAATATTATTACTTCAAACGAAACAGAACTAGTATTCAAAAGTCTCACTGAACATATTATATTTAATATTCCTGTCAGCGTCTCTTTTCCAGACAAATAAACTCATGAATATGCTAAGCAATTCTTGACAGCATTCTAGAAGTTTATAACTATCGTCAGATTTAAAGATCAGATGTTCAACATAACAACATAATATAACATCACGCCTTTTATCCCCGAAGGGGTAGGCAGAGGTGCACACAGAAGTAACACTCACTTTTCACTATTTATGTTATGAGTCCCATGTAATAGGGGTTGAGCCTATTTCCATATACCGGACACATTTTCAGACCCCGTGCTACTACTGAGATTTTTTTTTAAAATTCAGTAATACTTTGCCCGACCCGGGAATCGAACCCGAGCCCCTTGCCCGGTAGTCGCTCTTGCGACCACTCGGCTAACGAGGCAGTCATATATATAATGTTTTTTTATGGAATGAGCTGATAAACGAGCACACGGGTCACCTGATGTTAAGCAATCAGCGCCGCCCATGGACATCTGAAACACCAGAGGCGTTACAAGTGCGTTACCGGCGTATTAGTAATGGTAAATTTGAGGATTGTGGGGATCGGGGATTGGAGAGATTGGGGAGGAGGGAAGGGTAATTGGGTCTCCGGTAACCTCACTCATACGACGAAACACAATGCTAGCGTTGTTTCACGTCGGTGTTCTGTGAGGCCGTGGTATCACTCCGGTCGAGCCGACCTATTAGTGCCGAAGCATGGCGCTCCCACACTTAAACGTAACTTTGAGCGTTATTTGTAACTTAATCACGTCAAAACAGCTATCCCTTCAGCTGTTCTTCAGAATGAAATTTGGAACAGCAGTGGATTATTCTTTTTTTATTTTTTTATTTCAATTATAGTTATAGTTATGGTTAAATGATTAATTATGCTCGGCCCAGTGTTGTGGAGTTGCACACATATAAAACAATTCTTTGTGTTTGTTTTTCATAACTTATTGTCCGGATCTGGGTGTCATGCGCATGTGAAATTACAAATACAAAATAAATAATAGTCTGTCAGTCAGTCCGTCAGTGAAGCTAGGTGAAGCTAGGTACTCATTCCAAAATGTAGATTCGAATGGAGAAGAACGAGCAAGAAACACCGTCCGTTACTCTTTTTAAAAAAGTATGTTCTACAATGTCTCTGATACATATTCTGGATCTACATTATGGTCTGGAATAACACAGAGACTACTTTATATCCCTCGGGAATACGAGTGAAACCACTGACAGAAGCTAGTAATCCTTACTTATATCCTTACTTATATTATAAATCGGAAAGTGAGTTTGTTTGTTTGTTCCGACTTCACGCCGTAACTACTAAACCGATTGCTTTGAATTTTTGCAGACGTAAAGTTAGAAGTCCGGATTAAATAATAGGGTACTTCTTATCCCGGAAAAATTTGATATTCCCGAGGGAAAACAAAAATATTGGTATAGATGGCGCTGTGTATTGATATAGATAGCGCTGTATGTCATTTAAAACCAGTCAACGAATAACCTACTTATTGGAAAAATCTAAATAGCGCGATATAATCGAATTCCACGCGAGCGGAAAGCTATTTGTTAGTTTGCCTGTCTTAAACAGCAGAACGGAGATATTAATTAACGTGATTTTTTAACTGAAAGGTAGTTGAAGGGATGGATATTCACATAGGCTACTTTTCCTTTTGTGACGCCAGCGAAGCCGCGGGTAAAAGCTAGTACAAAATAAATAATAGTCTGTCAGCCAGTCCGTCAGTGAAGCTAGGTGAAGCTAGGTGCTCATTCCAAAATGTAGATTCGAATGGAGAAGAACGAGCAAGAAACTCCACTCGTTACTCTTTTTAAAAAAGTGTGTTCTACAATGTCTCTGATACATATTCTGGGTCTACATTATATTCTAAAATAACATATAGAAAGAAAGAAAGAAAGAAAGAAAAACCATTTATTTTTGCGCAAAACACACATAACATAACCAAAAATAAAAATAAAATAAAATACTACATAGACTACTTTGTATCCCACGGAAATACGAGTGAAACCGCTGACAGAAGCTAGTAATATTATAAATAACGTTGGAAACAATACCGATTTTTCAAGGTCATCGAATAGAATAATTTTCTTGAATCGATTGATCGTTTTCGTATTATTTGTTTGACTTGGAGAATTTAATTATGTGTAATGTAATAGAAAGATTCGATTACAAAATGAAGACGGGAGGTATTTGTCGGGAAATATTTGCGTCGAAGTAACTTTAGATCTCAATTTCATTAGGAGATTAAGGATGAACCAATGACATCCAGCTTAGTGCTAATAAATTGGACTTCTAAAGATGATCTTTTCGTAGAATTCGTTACTATTTATATATATCTTATTTTTTCTGCTGTACACATTTAGTATGACAAAGTTGCTTAGATAAGTAGGTACTTTTATTTTACAAAACTTTTTCGTTTAGTATGTCAGCATGCAAGTAGACCTTAACTATAATTTATGAGATTAAGGCAATTGTCATACTGCTGCTACTATAATGCGAAAACTTAACAAGAGTGGAAAATCGTGCAGAAACTAACACCAGCCACCCAACAGCAAAAACCTACATAATAGTTTAAGTAGCAACATATTTTTTACTAACAACAAATGAATATTTTCAGCAGTATGCCGCAACAAATTTCATAAGTTCTATGTCTAGTTCTTTATAGTGAAACTTTCCTCGTTTGCTCGGATTTGCCGACATGTTCCTACAAACTGTACTGGGTAACTTACGTAAAAGTTTTAAAAGTCAGTCGAAGAATCGAGGGCTGGAACCGTGAACCGAATATTAAGCAACTAGTCCCATATTGTGTAGAGAGATGTGTCATAGGTCATAGACCTAAAGATAGTATAGACAGCTCGATAAATACTAGAGGAAAATTCTCCTGCTATGCTTGTGGAGGTCGAGCGTACGGCGCGCGGATTCATACTATGATAGTTGGAAATTGTGCTCCAATATTTGACAACAGGGGCCTTAGACAAAGTAACAATTTAAAAACGATAACGAAGTTAGTTAAGACTAAAATGTATGGGATTGACATAGGCCGCGTTAAGTCACGTGGTCAATCGACATCGTTATCGCAATTTGGTAGACAATGTTATATTTCATAACGAAACTATAAAGTAACGAATCGTCATCGTGTTTATTCCATATAAATGCGTAGACAAGCAGACCTTTCAGTGTTCGCCAACGCCTCGATCGTGATCGCCAAAAACGATAACGAAACGAATGCTAAAAGGTTGTAGTTATTGAAACAATATGGCCGAATTTCATTCGGCAGCAGATTTTTGACATTGATTGATCCTGTTATTATTTATTTTGTGTTCGAGGTAATACACTAATACAGATCAAATAGATTAAAAATGCATTCTCTGCGTTTATTGTGGGCTGCCCACAATGAGACCGCCTGGGAGAGGCGCCAAAAACGGTTAAGATAGCGACGGTTCAATATAGGTACTTCATTGTTAAGATCGCGTCATTGTTTACATTACATACTCATGAATGAAACTTAGATTTACTTACGTTTCCATATACTCGAGCAGCGTTGCGAATTGTTCAGGACTTGCTCGCACTCTTGATTCCATGTTTTATCATTAAATATTAAAATATATAAGAAATAGAGAGAGATCCATCATCGTTTGAACACCAGTCACTTATAAAAATGAGTCTATTTTGATTATCACACTCTATTCACTAACGACTGTAAGATTATCGTTTATAATTATTTAACTTAAAAACCATTAAACGCAACACTCACTTTCTTATTAATAAAATTTTAAAACATCAATATCTCGCAAGTTTGATCCGATTTGAACTTTTTGACTGTCACTGACAGCTGGATTTTCGATACCATAACCAATATTTTTGTTTTTTGCCGAATAAAGAATTCGACACAACGATCACGACCATAGTGTTACATTGGCTAGGAAATGTTTATCGTTATCTCAGAGACGATGGCGAATTTACTTTTCGTTTCGCTATTAAGCGATGTTACTTTGTCTAAGGACCCAGGTTTGCTCGCTATTACAATGGAAGTACGAACATTAACAGTGCATAGTTAGTGTATGTTTAAGTACATTTCTGTACGCAAACGTTATGTTTTTTAACCTATGATCCTCACTAAAAAGTATAATCTTTTTTTAAAAAAAAGCAACGAGAAATCTTACAACCACCTGCCAGTATCATCATAAAAAATATTCAAATTTTGATTGCACAGCAACCAGTTACAATATTGCCATCGCAAAAAAAAACAACACAAAAATAAAATGGGAAAAGTTCATTATTTCAATTGGCAAACTTTTATATAACGTAAGTCGTTATTTGAGAAAACTCGTGTAAAATAAATGAGTGCATAAAAAGCTGCTGTTGAATCAACACGTTTATTGCTAGGTACGCTTCATAGTACTCTAATAAAACCTCAAATTGTAGAAGGACGAGTAGCTACAACTTTCTAGATTTATCTCTGAGTAGTATAACAATGATTGCAATTGGGTTAGAAGTACACTTTGTTGAGTTACTCGCAAGAGCATCTCCTCCAGTCTTACGAATGCATTAAAGTGATTTGAATTTCAATATTGAATACTTTTCTTTAGGTAAACTTATTTTCAAGATGATTTGTTTCAATCATATTTCATTTCTTATTATATCTGATAATTGAGCTATTAAAAAAATTCTCGGATCGGATTAGAGACTCTCACACACCTGCGGACGGCGAGCACGGGTAGCTCGCCGCCCGGCCAGAACCAGACCCGAGCGTATGGAATAGTAGCCATCAGACCACTACTGATGGCCCAATAGGGCTGATGCCGATACGGAGCCGCTGAGAACGTAAATGGTTACCGGGCCTCCGGCTCGAAGTGTAGGAGTAGGAATGGGATGGTTTTTAGTCAGTAAGAGTCTGACGTTAGATGAGTTGAAAAATCTACATCTTATACTTTTATATAAAGCGTTTGTTTTTTTTTTGTTGTTTGTTTGAACGCGCTAATCTCCATAACTACAAGTTTGATTTGAATAATTCTTTTTGTGTTGGATAGCGCATTTATCGAGGATGGCTATAGGCTATAAAACATCACACTACGACCAATAGGAGCTGAGCAGAGCGTGTGATACTGCGTGGAAGTAGCTAGTAGTATTTAAAACAATACCAACTGTCACAATATATCAAAAATAAAATATTTGATTTAAAATTCAGCGGCAGTGTGATGTAAACTCGTATTTCTATGCATGAAGAGTCGCATGGTGTATCAACATATTTGCGTCCGTCACATTGAAGCCGCGAAACATTCATGCGGATTTACCAACATAACATATATTGTGTGGTGTGTGTGTATGTGTATTGAATTTGGTGAGACAAAAATAGACAAGTGAACTATGTATATATAAAATGCAGTCTTTTATCTTTTCTGTCGTACGTGTGTACGTTTTGTCGAACAATTGGGTACTTTCCTACTAAAAATAAATTATTTTGACTGTCCAATACAATAAAATATTTAAAAATAATCATACTTTAATTAATTGATTTTATAATCAACTTAATTTTATTATATTCCATTATTTTTTAAGAAATAAGTATACTGTTTATACTCTAAAAAAACGCGACGTCACGATACACAAAACTCAGAGAAAACTGTCGTTTTTGAAAAAAGTATTGAATTTGTCTATTTGGCAAATATCCAATTACTCCTTTTCCTTTAAGGTCTTCATTGTAAAACAAATCTGGTTACCAAAAACTCATTATCAAATCCAAGATACTCCAAATTCCCTATGACCAAGAAAATATACCTTTCTTTCTTTTGACCCTTCTTCTTTTTTCCCTTCGGTTTTTGCACACGTTACATACCAATAAATAAAACAATTTAGTTGCATTAATTTCATGTACTACTGAGATTTTTTTTAAACCCAGTAGTACTTTACCCGACACAGGAATTGAACTCGAGACCCCTTGCTCGGTAGTCGCACTTGCGACCACTCGGCCAACGAGGCAGAGCAAAAAAATCTCATCGAAATGTGTCCGGTATATGGCAATAGGCTCACCCCCTATTACATGGGACTCATAACATAAATAGTGAAAAGTGGGTGTTACCTCTGTGTGCACATCTGCCTATTCGGGGATAAAAGGCGTGGTGTTATGTTATGTTATGTAATTTCATGTATCATATCACATAGTTTGATCAGTACATATCTCTAACTAAATCTTTCATTAGGTACATGCGTAATTATTCCATTCAGTACATACTAAACGAGCGTAAAGTGGAATCCCAAGAAACAAAAGACGATCAACTTAATACTTAAACATTTCATTTTATATTACAAGCTCAAACACGCTTAAAACAATGCCATCCATAACAATAATACCGTGAAACTCTCCCATCTTCAACACTACAATGTAATTTTACACTGCAGTGCAAATAAAACGTGTTACGAGGTCGGTATCCCGAGTATTTCGGTGTGCAGTTTATTGTGCAGTACAGTGTACGTGACGAATATGTTAGCATGTCATTCGGACGTGACGGGTAGCGTTCGGAACGGCCATAGCAAATAAATGTTGCTCTTGTTTGCAGCTTTCGTGTAAATATTTGGATTTTGTCGCGTTTTTATTGTGTAGAGATTCATATACAAAATGTATCGTGACTTTTGCTGCTCGTTGCCCGAGTGGTGGTCTGCTCGTTGCAAGTGCGACTGCCGGGCAAGGGGTATCGATTCGTCCCGGGTCGGGCAAAGTATTACTGGGTTTTTAAAAAATTCTCAGTAGTAGCACGGAGTCTGGAATTGTGCCCGGAATATGGCAATAGGCTCACCCCCTATTACATGGGACTCATAACATAAATAGTGAAAACGAGGCAGTTTGTCAAACGTTCTTACTAAGCAAGAAATAACCTAACGAAGAACTTCTGTCATAAAAACGTAACATAAAACAAAAACAAAGGTACAAACAGATCACATTACACGTATTCTGTTTTAATATAAACAAGAGAGAAGCATGCAGGACATGTTTCAATAACATTCCATGGCGATGGGAAATATCCAGGCTTACAACCATTGCGGTACATGCATATGTATGTTCACGCCCTTCGGTGAAATGGGATGAATTGCGTTATTGAAGTATTGGATGTATGTATGTTAGACTAGGGCTTTTGTTTGTTTTACAGGTTCAAAACAATGTATTTTTAGATGTTTAGTATGATGTAGACTTAAAGAAATAACATTTTCCTTTAGATCAAAGGAAAGTCTTACTGTGGGAATGGGCCGGCTCAACCGGAGTGATTCCACGGCCTCACAGAAAACCGATATGAAACAAAACTTGCATTGTGTTTCGTCGTGTGATTCCAATCTTCAACCCAATCTCCCCAATCCCGAGAACCCCAAACAATTATCAAATTCCTAATCCCCAAAAGCCCGGCAACACACTTGGAACGCATCTGGTATACGACGATTGCTTACCATCAGGGCGATCGGTCTGCTCGTTTACCGGCTTATTCCATAAAAAAAGCAAAGCAAAGCATTGATATTTGACTAACAAATAAATTTTCGTTTTGATATAGATCATGAAACAAACAACTATTTCGGACATTGGATTTAGGTTGAATAACCTTACAAAATATGTTATGCTTAATTTCGTGCAAATGAAGGTAGTGCTGTAGGTATATTTTAACAAAAATATTTAATATTGTAATCTTGATTAACTTCCGAACAACGTAAGCCATGTAGACTATAAAAGCGTCGGTCACTTTAACATCAAATTGTCCATTAATAATAAAATATCGTCAATGCATTTCCAATTTCAACCGAAAACAGGGAATAAAATATTCCAATTACATTCCCGCTGAAATGGGAAATTCAGGTCCAATGATTGTGGGTCCGATATTTTCCTATTATTTCGACCGATGCTCTGATACGAAATATTTTTGTGGTCCAACCCTCATATTTTATACCAGCGAAATCGAAACCTTTGTCCAATTAATTTTATTTTCAACTTAAATGTGAAATTAAAATCGGATTCACGGTCTCTGATATTATTTAAAATTATTTCTGTTTTCACAGTCGGCCATTTCGTTATTTAATTAATAGGATCCATTGTTTTATTATTGCGTTCCTTGATTGCTACATTGTTTGTTTGTTTGTTTGTCGTTGGAATAGATCAAACAAAATGAGCGTGTTGTCGTTTTTCTGTTGTTTTTAATACTTTTAAAGGTTTAGATTTGACTTGATTTGATATAATTGCAAAAAAAGGAAATTTAGAGACATAACAGGTTGTGACCATAAAGCTCATTGAATTTTATAGTCATCGAATGTAGCATACACAACAAATACGTAGTATAAAATTTTCTTGTTCCCAATTTTCCTGAGTTCGAAAATTGACCATTAAACTCCCTATGTATTATTTTGATCTCTAACTATCTTATGAAGTCGATAACAACAGTGATAAACGAAGATAAACACGAAAAAAATAAATATTAATTAATGTTTCTTTTCTTAATCCTACAGCATCGGGACACCCAAGAAACTCTAGCAGTCCTAGATCGGCTAGACTTAGACACTGAGAAGCCGACCGATGAAGAAGTAGCCCGAAAGTTTGGCTTCGAAGAGGACTACATGAAGGGGACGGTGTCGTGGTGGCAGCATCTGAAGCCACAGATGTGGTCGCTCTTTGATGAGCCGTATAGCTCTAATGCTGCTAAGGTAAATGTTTATTATTTACTAGTTGCCCGCAACTTCGTCCGCGTAATTTTAAAACATATTTTTTTGTTTTAATTTTCCAAATTAAAAGCAGCCTATGTTACTACTTAGTACACAGCTACTTGCCAATAATAATGGGTCCAGTCATTTCAGAGATTAGCCAGAACAAACAGACAGACAGACAGAAAAAAAAACAAAAAAGTAATTGTTTTGCATTGCATTGTTTGTATATTAATATGCATGTAGTAAAAAGCGGTTATTTTAAAATTACAAACATGCACTCCAATTTTATTTATATGTATATTTGTGTACTACGCGTGTTATTTTATAAAAATAGAGATTATGTTGATGTAGCTGAGATGGTTAAGTTAAGAATGATAAAATTGTTGAAATAATTCAATTCGTCATATAGGACAGTGTATCAAGAAAAAATAAAACGCCATTGTCATATTGAATTCTCAACTTGATTGAGAAAGAAAATATATTAAGGAAACTCGGTTAAGGTTAAAGAATACACTGTAGTCAATTTATGTCTATGGATCTATATCCAACTTAAATATGTTTAAATATGGTAATTACATTGTAATAAAAATAAACAAAATATAAAAAAAAATCTAGAGGATTTAATTTTAATCAATATGATCGTAGCTCAATTTAATGTCTTTGATGAATCATGTTCTTAGAAATCACTAATAGATTTTAAAATGCTTCTTCTCAAGTCAAGAAGTTACTTGAAATGTTAATAATTTTAATTCTTAGTAAAAACATCTTCATCTACAGTCAAATATTTCTGAAAACATTTTGGATAACTGTTTAAATTCACGTGGAATTAAAAATTCCTTACAAGCTTAAAACTGTAACCATTTTGTTTTAGAAAATATTATCCTTACTATTATAAATGGAAAAGTGAGTTTGTTTGTTTGTTTGTTCCGCTTTCACGCCGTAAATTCTAAACCGATTGCTTTGAATTTTTGCAGACGTAAAATTAGAAGTCCGGATTAAATATAGGGTACTTTTTATCTCGGAAAATTTTGGTATTCTCGAAGGAAAACAAAAGAATTGGTATAGATGGCGCTGTGTATATTAGTAAAGGCTACTTTTATACTTTTGTGACGCGAACAAAGCCGCGGGTAAAAGCTAGTATAAAATATTTTGCAGTAAGCTATCAAACTTCGAACGAAGGCACTTTTAGTAACAATTTTAATTCAAATTTATGCAAATCTAAATATTCTAATTTTGACCTTGAAGAGTGGCAACAACGGGCCACAAAACCCTCGCCTTTAATGGTTTTTTATTTATATTTCCATTGTTATTATTCACGTTGACATTGCCAATTTTCACATAAAAACAGTAACTTTTGTCATTCTTTTGAAAATTTCAACTTCAAAAATGTATAGTTACTTCGTGAAAAATCTATCAATATGTTTGGTTGTATTCCAAATGACGATAAGAATATTTTTGTTCAAATCGAATGAACAATAAAATTCATGATCAAATGTTCAATCATAAAGAATAAAATGTTATAGAGTACAATTCAATCTATTAGATCGAATGACAATCCATTGGTCCAATTGAAATAACTTATCAGGGCTTCACAGATGAAATGTAATTTGAGGCAAGAAAATATTTGTAATGAAGTATCGCATTACCTAGAAACGCAATCACGGCGATATGACATTTCCCACAAACACGTAGAAGTCAGAATCCCCCAACACTAAAACCACTTATGTCTAGGCAATCATGAACTCACTAATGTACTGTCATTAACATATCTCATTACCGACGCAGAACCTTTTCACAGTACTTGTTTTTTCCTCAACAACCTTTTTAACATTTGCAAAAAAACTCTGTTCTGTGTAAATACTATCATTTGGCTCGTTAACCGTTCGTGTTTCAGTAAATAAAAGCACCCTTAATTCCAGCAATAAAAGCCCTGTATTTACTTTAATTATTTTTTACATGAGAATGTAAACGTAGTAATTTTTATGTCCCGCTGAAGGGCAAAAGGTTTGTTGTGAAGGCTGCTTTAATCTCAACAAAAGCAATGTTGATCTCGCCGTTTAATGACTCCGGGGATTTAGAGACTAGTTCAATGAATTGTTTGATGTCGGGATCGTGTGATAAATCTTAACCCTTTACACGTTACCCTAAAGGATTTGTAGAAGCAATTAACTTAACTGATTCTTTGTTTTCAGATAATCGGCGTCATATCTGTGTTCTTCATATGCGTGTCAATAATATCGTTCTGTCTAAAAACTCACCCGGACATGAGAGTGCCAGTGATTAGAAACTATACAGTGACGACTGCCAACCAATCGCAGGGTTGGGCGTTGGACAAAGTGCAAACAAACGCCCACGTAGCGTTTTTCTATATAGAATGTGTGTGTAACGCTTGGTTCACGTTAGAGATCCTAGTGCGTTTCATCTCATCACCCAATAAGTGTGAATTCGTCAAATCTTCCGTCAACATCATCGACTACATAGCCACCATGAGCTTCTACATAGACCTGATCCTTCAGAAGTATGCGTCACACGTTGAGAACGCGGATATTCTGGAGTTCTTCTCTATCATTAGGATCATGAGGCTGTTCAAACTCACGAGGCACTCTTCGGGTCTCAAGATTTTGATTCAGACCTTCAGGGCATCAGCGAAGGAGCTGACGCTGCTAGTGTTCTTCCTAGTACTGGGTATTGTAATATTCGCTAGTCTGGTGTACTACGCGGAGAGGATACAAACGAATCCTCATAACGACTTCAATAGCATACCGCTGGGGCTGTGGTGGGCGCTGGTGACGATGACGACTGTTGGATACGGTGACATGGCGCCGAAGACCTATGTTGGCATGTTTGTCGGTGCGCTTTGCGCGTTAGCAGGCGTAAGTATGCGTTTTATCGAGTTGATATCTGAATTATCTAAAAATCATTACTATCTAAATTTAACACATACTTTTAATTTGAATGAGTTTTTAATGGCATATTTTTAAAATGAATGTATAAATGCAAAGCCACCTCAAAATATGAATAGAACCAGAAAGAACAAAAATATGTTTAATACTTCCCGAAATGTTCACGTATTTTTTCAGAAATGTAATGGTGTTTGGTAAATATTTGAAAGAAATGTCATCTGCCTCATTCGTCACTGTCACTTCTACAAATAAAATATTGTTCTTATTCCAACAGGTGTTAACCATAGCTCTTCCGGTGCCAGTCATAGTATCCAATTTCGCCATGTACTACTCGCATACACAAGCGAGAGCAAAGTTACCGAAGAAGAGGCGAAGAGTCATCAATGTAGAGCCTACGAGGCCACCTATGCGTAAGTAGTTTCTGAAAAGAAATAACTATATACAATAAAAAATTCCACCAGAAGTAGATTGTAATGAAATTGCTAACCCTTAAATAGCCAAACATCATTTATCACTTGAACATTTGGAAGTTGTTTTGATATTTAAAGTAAGCGTTGTTGATCTAGGTGCCCCAGTGCCAGGTGCTCCTAATCCCTTAGCGCCAGGCATGGGTCCCCAGGTAGTAAACCGCAGAATGAATGCCATCAAAACCAATCATCCTAAAGACATGATAGGACCTAACATGGGTAAGTTCTATGAATAAGTCACAAAGCTAATAAATGTCACTTTATCTGAAGCTGTGGATAAAACTATAATAAAAGAAAATGAAAATGCACTTTAGCAAAATCGGAACGATCAAATACAATTTAAAGAACTGCATGATAATAAATTGAACCATAAAACTGAATTTTATAACCATTTGATGTCTTCTTTATTTAAATTATTCATAGCTTCACAATTTTATTGTATTTCACACAAAACTGTGGAATTAACACCCATAGCAAGACAAATGTAAAATATTTCCAAAATTTTACTTGAAGGCAAAATTTTAATATGGAATATGGCCTTTGTAATCCACTTGTAGTTTTAAGCACTTTAAATGTTTGATATCACGAAGTAGAAACAAAATTTTATGGACATGAAAACAAATTGGCGTTGTCACAAATATAGATGAACATATCACATTCACTGGTGAATTTGAACAGAAAGATGTAACACCATACAAATGGTAACAAACATACTAACTTGACTAATTGATCATAACTGCGCATTTAATTACCTACATGGATGTGGCTAAAATAATGTAACTTATCAAAGACTTTGACTTCTACTTAAAAGTGCAAGTTGTTTTGAAAACTGAAAATTTTTGAGCACCTCCCTGTATTGACAAAAACACGAATGAAATTGAATGCATCCAAGATAGAAGTAATCTAAAACACAATGTCTTGAAGGTTTCTGTACACAAAGTCATTGATAATGTACTCCGTACCATAATAATAACTGATGTACTAGCCACGTGACTAACAGTAGCTTATGCAATGTAATCCTCCACAGATGGTGATCGTAGCGAGCTAGAGGCTATGATCCAAACGACACCAAACAACTGCAAAAGAAAAAATTTAAACATGCTTTAGAAAGCATCACACAACGCCGTTGGAACCGAATGGGCTTTCTATATCGCCTGCACACTCGGATTTAGCTTACAGGAATGCTAATATATCTTTAGTCACTAATCAATCATTACCATTGTCATTATCATGTATGCACACGGCAGTATCTTCAAGCAGCACTGGATCCACCGTCTAGGTCCCTTTGCTTCGAGGGGATGAAGGTTCGGGACTTTGTATATCTGTGTTTGTACCCCGAACTTGTTTGCTTTGCTTCCAAACTTGGTGTTGTTGTAGTTTGTTTATGATTTTGTAAATTTTTAGGTCCTTTCATTTTGCGATATCCGTGAATGCTTATTTGGTCGATTATTTATGAATACAACATCGTTTGTCGTTATCTTATGTTTTAGATAGTGATGGTTCAGTGTTTTTTCCAGGCAACAACCACACACCTCCACCACCACTAAATAGTCAAAACAATACAACAATTGAAGTTCCAAACTCACAGCCCGTCACATCGGTACACTTTTAGATAACTTAACACTAATATAAACACTAACACAGTGTCGTTCTTGTGCTTTTTATATTGTACAACGAATGTTCGTGTTTCTAGCACTAGTTTATGTCTTGTGAGAGTCTGTCAATGTTATATTATTATGTGTTTATTTTTTTTTTAATTTCTATATAATCTTTCTCTATGATACTCTTTCTTAAATATTTCATCAAAAACGCAATCAGTTATCCCAAATAAAAATGAGCATGCACATGCATGATTGTTAAAATAAATAATCTTCTAAACCGTTTTGTGTCTGTTGCCTGTTTTATTGTGATGGTGAGACATTAATTTGTTTTTGTATTCCCTACAGTTGCAACTTTGATGCCGGGGATGGATCTATCGGTCACGACTCGTCTCTCTCCCAGCCCTCAAGGCATGAGCCCCGCGCTGGCGATTGCAATTCCAATGATGAAATCTGTAAATATAGTACCATCTCAATGTTTCGACAACATGGCGTACCACAGTGAGAAATCAGAAGAAAAAGAGGCGGATAACAATAAAGAAAGCAGTAAAAGCTGCAGCCGTCAGGAATCTGTGGAAAGCGACAATACTGTCAGAGTAATGAACTTCAAAAATGATATATTTATGGATAAAGTGAATGAAGAGAAAACAGACGCGCGCACGCCTCTGCTGAGGGATCACAAGATCGAGTCATTGGATGAAACGAAATTAAGGGACAATAAGACGGAGAAAAGGAAATCGTCTGCTTCTACATAACGTTAATAATATAATGACCAATAGTGCTAAGAATGTTTTTTAAAATTCGCTTGCTGTGAGAACGATATCTTAATCAATGTAACATTATGACAAAGAAAATCAATAGTCGAATGAAAGAAAGACTTTAAACACGGTTATACATATTAATATCATTGGTGTCAGTTATAATAGTTGCATAAAAGCCTTTTTGAAAGCAGTTACGATTCTATATAAAATTGATATGAATAATCATCATTGATATAGTATTTTATTGGTAAGCGCATTCAAGGCCGTGATAGGTGTAAGATAGCTAAGTGTTTACAGGCACTTATTAACATTTTATAACACATACGTATTAGAATAGCTGCTATCACAATCTAGTAAAAAATAAATGTAAGCCAACGACCAGTATAGATAGGCCCATTATATCTCTGTCCTACATACCCATAGACATGACTTCGAAGTCTAGTTATACTGGTCGCGTAGTCATCGTTAATGACCAGAAAATTCGTAATCATAGTGAAGTATGTTTACTGTCCATTAGTGAGAGAGGTGAAGCTTGTTTAGGTCTAATAAATGCAAATATTAAATTTGATTTTGTGAACAAGCAATGTTTAGCAATAGTTTTGGTTAAACAAAAATATGAAACTACAGCAGTTTGGATACTTTATACATAATGTTACTTCAACATCGCTTGTTTTGCTTACACCCCTATCATGGGAAACAAGTTCATCACTATTTTCTGTTCATTCATCATTTTCTTTTATAAATCTTCGAGCCCTAACCAAGTTTTGCCTCATCCAAATAAGCTAACGATAATTTTATTGTAAATATTAGTAGCGTTACTAATTTTGTATCTTTAACAGTTAAAATAATCACTAGACAACACATATCATTGGCACTTTCTTTCATTCTTGGTGTTATATACCTGTTTTACATGTATATAGATAAATATAAATAGCATAAACTATACATAATAAGCGTAGATAGTGTTAAAGAAATTATTTAAAATAAACAAAATACAGTAAATTGGCTGAGAATTTTAGTTTGCGTTTTGGATATACAAAATTAAATTAAGCCTCAAAAGATATAAATTTGAGGAATGTATCGTACTTCATAAAGCCCTTTCATTGCGACTTGACAAAGATTAAAATATGATATGTTGATACATTATAAACGAATGAAAACCTGACACGGGAGTTGTCGTTTTAACTCCAAAAATTTGAAAAGAGTAATTATAGCAAAGCTGCATCAGGTTCTTTCGTTATTATGCCTTAAGAAAAGGGTATTCAAAAAATACTCATGAAATAGGAGACGCTGTTTACAAAATAGTGATGAAAGGGTACTAACGTTCGAAAAGAAAAATGTTAAGTGGGCTCTTTTGTTTATATGTTGCTTAGCAACGCACGAGAAGTATTTTCCTTCAATAAAATAAATTGTAAATCATGTCTAAATTTGGGGACCCTTAATGTTTTATAATATGTATAAATATCGCGTGGATTTTATAATATTATCTTGTGTGCCAGGAATCTCTGAGATGCAAGTTGTTCTAATAACTTCTTTACGTCTATAGTATATTTCTACTTATAATCAATAACAAAAAATATTTGATTTGTTTTATCTTGAGTATAACATCTTTTCATTACATTCTCTCACTTATGTACTGAAATCTAATAAAAACTAAACGGTAGAAGACAGCTTGTGTCATCTTCCTGGCACCAAATCGGTACCATATCGTAATTATCAATTATTTATTTTATCATTTGTTACTAAACGAAATTCTAACGCTAATATCTATTTAACGCATAAAATGCAATAAGTTTTAATGTAACCTAGATAGCACAACGTTTTGTTACGGAGCGTATTTTGTATATAATTTAAGATAAACTTTAGCTACTAATATTATACTTTATTTATTGTTTTCCTCTTTTTTACTAATCAAAGACTTGCTTCTGAATTGTGACTGAACTTCAAGTTGGGACGATTACATAAAGCGAAAAATTAACATCACCAAGATGAATAATTTACCCTAACTTCAAGGTCATGATTTCAGTAACATTTAGAAGCTGCAGTCTAAACCAAAATCCAAATAAATGTAAAAAATAGTTTTGATTGTGGGCTGAGATCGTGAAACGTAAAAAAGGATACCAAACCAGAAACAGTGTAATTAACTATTGAACATGTTAATTGTAGCCATGATGGATAGAAAAAAATAATTAAACATCTCGATTTTGTACATAAAATATAGACGCACAATGTAACTTAATTACCTACAAACACAACTTTAACAAAACTAGATGGTACATATAATAAAACAAAAGAAACTCGCGGCACTATAGTTTGTAAAACAATGCTTAAAGCGTATCCACTGTTTATACTTTACAACACACGTACAATGGGACAGCCTGTGTCAGCGACCGACAACCCTATTTTGAAATAATTTATGACCCCTTCCCAACCAAACAAGTACACTTAGGGGTATTCATCATCTGTGTTGTTAAAATTCATATAAATTGCCAAGCGAGCCTTTGGCAGTGCGTCTGATGCTACGTGACAAGGTTCTGTGATATCATGTCGCTCCAAATTAATGTATGGGATATGTTAATTATTGTGTTTGTCATTTGTTAACTTTAGCTAAGGTGCCACTTGTATTCGTGAATTGTGATGCCTAAAACAAGTCACTTTACTAGTACCAATATATCTTAGATAGTTGTGATGTTTAAACAAGTTTGAACTTTATATAATTTTGAAATATTTATTATTTTAAAATATTAAAGATACTTAACAATATTTCTCTTGAAAATGTAGTTCTCTTTAGTCGCGTGTTAAGACGTAGATACATTTTACTCGTTAAGTTCTTAGCGAAGGCAAAATCAAGTCAAGTGGAATGTTATGTGTCAGTCTGCCTGACGTTTATTTATTACTGCGGCGTCTAATCTAACCTACTTAATTCACCCTAACAAGCTCCAACGGTGCATTTTGTAAGAACCTTTTTAAAATTCCGTCTAAAGTATGAAGTATCCAAAAATGTAGGACCATCATTTTTAACTTTCGAGCTACATAAATCTTTTCGCTGCCTTTCCGCTTCAGAAATAGTTTCCATTTTCTAGCTATCTTCAAAACTATAATTTTTACACCACACGCAAGCCTGACATATCACAGTCCTAGAAAATAAATTTTGTTGGTAGAACTGAAATAAGGGCCAAAAGTTTTGGTCTCACGTTGACAGGTCAACGCTACCTGCCACTGGCAAGCTTGCTAGAAGCATAAGTCATATTTTAATTAAAACTAACATAATTAACTTTGTAAAGTTGGATAACACAATTGGTTATACGCTGAAACTTTAAATTTAAATTGGCTAATTTGTTTCTCGATTATACTATAGACAAAATGTCATATTGTAAAAGTAAATTCTGTTTGGTAGACGAATCAATAATTAGTGTAGCGTCGTAATTGCGAAGTTGTGTTTTCAAGTTAGTAAGAAGTACTTTGGAGCTTGGCTCGACTTGTAACGGTACTGTTTTATCGCCTTTTAACATGGAAGGAGCATTGGGCTATAATTCTCCATTTAAAAGTCAAACTGTATTTACACGCCTAACGCCACGATCGATAAGTCCATAAGAGAGAAAAATGAGCCATTTCGCATTGTTTATGGGGGTCCCACTGGCTTCACGATCTCCGTCCAATCTCAAAACATTGAACATTATTGCGAACACCTTACTTGTAGCCTTATTCTCATCTACTTTATGCTAAATATATATGTAAATAAATTTTTAAAGCGGATCTAGAGGACCATGAACAAGTTTTGTACTTAATTCTTTAAAACTACTCGGATCGCGAGTTTTTATTTAAGACTTGTATTAAGTTTACGTTTTGCACTTTAATGAATAAAATTGTGAGATGAGTTTAGTGGATAATGTTATAATTTTGCTGTCGACATTAATATTATACAAAACAGCCCGCGAAATGTTGATGTAATTTGTTAAAAATTATCAGTTAGGTACTTTGTGACGTATAGTTTTTCGAAAATATATAACTAAATTGAAATGTAAATTAATTATTATTTTTGTTATAATATCTAAAAATTGAAAATTAAACTGATAAATCAGTCCAAAAATAAATTATGTATGTAATAATAATGGAAGAAATTCAATAAAACCCTCGAAAAGGTGAAAGCTAGTCTAGTAAAAATATAAAAAAAGGTAACTTGAAATTCAATAACCAATACACTTTATCGTTAAGCTGTTTATTATTTACATTTTGTAAAATACTGATGGTATACCATAATGTTTTCTAAATTATGCACAGTGTTTATTGTACGTCTGAGTTTGGTACGAAAATTCGTACAAAAGCCCAGTGGTGGGACACTGAGACACACTGTGTCTAATTTTGAACACTCACGAGCAAAGACGTAGGTAATAAGGCTTTCACATTGAGTAAACAGGGCTTTGGTGTTATTATATAGCGTTCTATATACATTTACAATTTTGAACAATACAAAAACAAAATTATTTGAAAATATTGTTCATTAAACATGTGAAATTATTGTGTTGTTTCATTTTCTTACTTATTATTTACAACCTCAAGGATTTACCTTGAGATAGTCCCAAAACTCCTTTATGTATTCTTTTTTATGAAATAGACAAACGAGCAGATGGATCACCTGATGGTAAGCGATCAGCGCCGCCCATGGACACCCGCGCAACACCAGAGGAGTCACAGGTGTATTGCCGGCCTTTTAAAAAAGAATACGCTCTATTCTAGAAAAGTTTGAAGGTCTTATCGGTTTGGAAATACAGCCGACGACAGATCATTCCACGGTTTTGCTGTGCGGTATTGTGTAAGCAGATTCGTCAGGTGATATTGTATTGTTGTTTTGGGACATTTCGTATATTAATCATTGATTAGACCATTTATTCAAATACAAACCTTAAATTAAAAACTATTACTTTAAAAAATTAAAACTAAATATTACTAAATTAAATATATACAACTTAAGATTAAAATTAATTATAAGAAAA